AGGAGGGTGACAGCTACAGCATGACGACCACGGTTGCCACAGGTTGAACCATCTTTACTGTGTCATTTCCTGCTGCTAAACAAATGACTGAGAGCTGCGGGCTATCGTGGTCTTAGCGGAAGAACAGTGGACTAGTTCCACGAGACCTGACTCTGTGAAAGTGTAGTCACAGTTTAAAGTCAATTAATCAGGTTAAAACAAGCTGATTAAAATGAAAGAGTAAATCAAATCATGTCTATTCACCCTGCTGTAAATGTATATAAATGATCCTTAAACACCCCATTCATTAACACAGCAAAACAGAAGACCCCCTCACACACACACACACACACAAACACACAAACACACAGACACACACAATATGCTGCGAGCCGAGCAGAGGTGCTGAGAGGAAAGGTGCTCCACTTTAAAGCTTTGTGATAGATTAGGGAGGAGCTCCAGAAACAGAATAATTTCCCCGGTGACCAATTTCCGAACACTTCCTAAGCAAAGAAAATCAGCAACAAGCTAACATGTCAGACGCAGGGTGCAGGCGGACGTGCTGACTCACTTCTAATGAGCAGCCAGAGACAGAAATAATAACTAAAACTTAGAATCATAGGTCATGACTGCGTATATACTGCTGACTGTCCTAATTAACACAAGACCTTATACAGTGGATGCCGATGCACACGTAGCTACCTGTGCTAACAACTATCAAAATAGCTTCTGCTGTGGCCCGGCTGCCGATGTCGGTGTATGGCAAAGATAATTGCTTATGTGTTTACAGCAGTACACGCTGTCACTGTGAGGAGTCGTGGCTTCATGTTACTTATGATATAATAGATAATAGTCCAGTCATTTCCATTTACTTTAAGTTCAAAAGATGTTCTATTTTGAAAGTTTACTTGTCTTTAATGATGGGTGCGGTGCTACTGGTCCTTGTGGTCACAAAGAACAACCATGAGTAATTTTTTTTGCTTGATTTGTGAATGAGAGACAGATGAGACACATCTGCCAAGCTTCTCTCTGGGCTTCACCGTTTAAATGAATGTATAAATCATTTTGCTTTTGGCAACAATTGTCCTTTAAACAGTGTCTGCTACAAAGGTGTCAGATCTTTACTGCATAGCATTAAGTGATTACCTGATGTAGGAGGAAGATCAATGGTCTTAAGTAGACCAGCCAGGCAACTAATACAAAAGACTGAATGATTATGCCCCCGGTGGTCAGGGTCTCTGCTGGGCTTTGGTTTTGTTGCACTCATTGCAGAAAGTTCAAGTGACTCAAAGTGGCCTCTTAGCTGAGAAATGCTCTTGGTCTGGTTTGGTAACTTTTTCAAGGAAGGAAAATAGTTTATTTTATCATTTTAAATGTCTTTAAAAACTTTCTGCAGTTTATCATAATACGTCATGCTTATTTTCACCATCTAATAAAGAAGTAATGTTAGCGAGTGTGAACTAATATTCACACTAATGCAACTGTCCTGATCAGAGGACTGTACACATGCCTTTAGTAAATAGAAGCTTTGTTTGAAATAAAGACTAATTTGATTTAATGTTAAAGTATAAATAAATCATTATTTATTTCTGATAGTGCCGTACTGCTGTGGATGTATCCTCATCCTTGTTTACTCTCAGTGAATGTACGTCCATGTGGCGTAGAGTTTGGCACAGGCCGGAAAAACGTCCGTGCATTTCCACGCTTCATCATCCGCGGTTTGTGTCAGAGCCAGACAGTCATCTGGAAAGGTCAGAGCCTGGGTAAAAAGATTTAAATCACACCGAGGGAGAAAGATTCACCCTGACAGGCGGAACCTGAAAAGTGGTAAATAGGAAGAGAAACAGAGACTTGTTTCAATCGCCCTCTCAGAGCTGAGACACGCTGGTCATGAGGGTTTCAAGGAAAGAATCATCAGATTGGAATACAGGGGAGATTTTTTTTTTTAGAGATGCAAATTATCATAAGCTAGTGTTTTTTTATTTATGTCAGGTCTGTTTGTATCTCCTGCCACCTAGTCTCTCCTGGTGCCCTGGGTATACACCCATCTCTCTCTCACTCCCTCAGTTCTTGGGTCATCGTTCATTGCACGTTGTTCGTTGTGTGTTTCTGTTTGCTGTTGCTTACTCCTGCGTTCCTGTGGGTGATGTTCCTGCATGTTGTGAAGATTAATCAAGTTCCATTATTTAAACGTATGGGTAGAATGAAGCACTACAGTACAGTATATCCGATAATACCCCAGTCCATCCACCATTGTTGCTGTAAAATACCATCTTGATGCCCAGCGTTTGTTTATCGAGGCTTCGACCTCAGGTCAGAAACCTGGACTGTATCAGAGCAGCCTCGTCAAGTGCAGATCAGTAAATAAGTCAGTGACTGATGATGCACTGTAATGACTAAAAAAACACACCATCTCCATGATGCTAAATTATATTGCATTGTACTTTTGTTTTTGTTTTTTTTACATTTTTTGACAGTAATGATTCAATAATTTGGATTATAAATATTTTGTATGTTACTGTTAATGTTACTTATTTTTTGTTCCATCAATATACAATATACATGTTGATTTAGATTTATTAATCATGATTAATCATGACTACTTCACAGCTGTAATTATTCAAATTCAAGCCTTCTTTTCCTTTTCCTTAAATTAAAACATTTGAATTTTTTGTTTCAATTTTAAAACAAGTTTTGTTTTTTATTTTTTATTTTTTTTGTTGTTGTTGTTTTTGCCAGTTCTGCTTTTTAAACCTGATTGAATACACACCTGCACAGAGGTGTGTATTCCACAGTCTAGAGGAACCGAGTGTTGGAGTCTATATCGGCACATTTAGAAACTGACATATGTGTTTCAGTTCCTGATGAATCGCTGTGGTGTTTTGTTGTTCTATATTCCCAGCATCAGTTGTGAGCCTGGAGTGGAAATGTCTTTTTTTTCTACATTTCCCAAGTTATTATATTAATGTTGTGGCCACGCCTTTTGATGAATGTAGGAACCAAAGCCCGTATTCAGCTGCTTTTCAGGACAAATGGCCCCTTTGAAAAAAATTCCTTTCTCTTTACTGTTTATTAATATACTTAAAAAGATGAATGTGAAATGGGGAAGCTTACAGCGCGGCCTATGTATCATAATATATTTGCTCACAGAAGTGAAGAATAATGAAACTATTTTCAGCTATAAAGCTGCGGTTGAATAATACGTCGAGCGCAAAGTGCTACAAAGCCAGAGCTATTACAGCACGGTTACTTTTTTAATCCTTTTTGGAAGAGACAGCCGTAAATGTATGCATATGTTTGCTCTTAAGGTCATGTAAACCTTTATCATATAATATCATAATTTTAATTCTTTTAATGTCTCTGTCTTTCAATGTGTGTGTGTGTGTCCTAACACTGTGGTGGACTATTACAAAATCCTGGTAAAAATCCTTCTGCCGCAGCACTGCCTGTAATTTCAGAAAAAAAATAAAATTAAAATAAATAAACTAAAATCAAACGCTCCTACCACGCTACTGCAGTAATATCATTGTTGCTGATAGTGAAGTACAGCTGGTTTTCAGTTGCTCTTCTACATTATAAGGAATAAAAATATATTAAGTGTATGTTCATGAAATCAAAGACGTGTCAGCAGATGTTGAATCCATACAGAAGCGTTTCCTCTCTGCACATAATCTAACACAGAGAGTTGTGTCTAAAATGTAGCCCGCGGCCACAGACAGGATCAATTGACCTCATCTGGATATTCATCATTTGGTACTTATGTAATCAGGGCACGCACACACAAACACACACACATTCACAAAAGCCTAATCCCCCCAGTACTTACGTAGCATGTGCAGGCTACAACTGTTGTGTATAATGTACGTGGACAATATGTGCTAATTGGACGCCTCATTCACTGAAGCAGCTGTGTGTGAGAGACTGTAATTATACACTGAGTTGTGGGTGAGAGTGTGTGTGTGTGTGTGTGTGTGGGGGGGGGTTGTTCAATTCAGGTATGGGTTCAGCTGGTACACAGAAGTACACAGTGTGTTGTTGTTGTTGGTTTTTTATTGTTGGTGCAGAGTAACAGTATGGCTTGAATATACATCGTCTTTGCAGGGTTTTGGGAGAAGAAACCAGCCGTGGTGAACAGCAGATGTAAACATGTGGGTGTAAATGAAGAAAGATACGAATTGTATTCCAAGAAATAATTTAACTCGCTTTAAAAACACTAGTACAAGAGCACAAATCTGTTGTTTCTTACTCTACCTAATTTACAAACTGTGACTTGAAATATATAGAATATATAAATATATATATATATATATAAAAACAGCTTGTGGTGCAGTGTATACTGGTTGCAGCCTAAAACATTTTAAAATGACCATTAACAGCCAGGTTACCGCTGCTATCTCTGCTTCTTTACTTACATCACCACGTTGTCTCTTATTATTTAATCTGCTGATGCTAATTTTTGTCTTCCTTTATATTTGTCCTAACGTTTATTGACGCATGTCTGGCAGCAATTTCTATGTATAACATATTTCTGTATCTTAAAGGACAGAATGATAAGTTATAGTATTTTTCAGATCTGTACCAAATTTCTAGTCGTTTGGTACACATTTGAAAATGTTTAATTACATTTCATTTTTACTATCAGAGTCTATGACAGGAGAACCATTTCTATGTAGTGAGTGAAATTGTAACGTAACATTAATGTACCTTTGCATTATTACACACATTTGTACCTATTAGACCTTTGCAGGAATAAATAATAATAATAATAAGTAGAAATTTGGATGACATTACAATGTGAAATTATTTACTTTAAATAAAATAATTTTTTGTCAAGTGGCTAAAATCTAGTTTTTATTTCTGTTCCTACTGGAAGCCTTGTTATTAACTATAGTCATGTGTCCAAGGCTGCTTAGGACAAATTATATATATATATATATATATTTTTTAATTATACACTGGGAATAATGTTGTAACCAGAAATATATGTGTCTTAACTCTTTCTCTTTCTCATTTCCACACAGGCCTTCCCATGTATATCCACAGGCATCTATGGTGAGTCCCATTCTATCATTGTATTGATTTTGGTGTTTGTTCTGTAAATACATACTTCCCCGTGAGATTCAGTCAGAGTTTGAGGATATATTTACATATACGTGTAAGCCTGCACATGGAAGAGAGCAGCATGGACATCAGTACAGTAGCTGTTTACAGGGCTGTGACTTTGAAGAGGAGAACAGTCACAGGAACGCCCACCAAGTTCACCTTACACTACGCTGCACAAAGACACAACCTCTTAGAGGAGGCGCAAACTTAGGCCCTGGACAAGGTTTCTGCTCTCTTATGGGACCAGACCTGAGGTTTAGCAAAAGTTTGCCAACAAGGAGCTGGTGTTCTCATTAGATCTAAACAAAGACAAACTGATTTTACACTATTTCACCATTAAAACCAGCTAGAGTAATATGAAATATACAAACATAAATAGAAAGATAAATATGTTCCACAGCAACATTGAACATATGGCTAATAAATATAAAAACAAATGTTTTTGTGGCAGAAAAAACAAGAACTTTCCAGCTGCTATCATCATTTCAGACAGCTCTGCTTTTAAAGCAGTGTTTTTTCTTTCTTTCTTCTTCATCGGCCTCGTGTAATGACAGAATGACAGCTGTCAGCGAGTTACTCACTGAAATATTAAACATCTCATCGTACAGTCACTAATTAGAATTCACTGATTACAGAGCAGTGAGAAGCTGGACTCACTACAGAGGACACACACACACACACACGCAGTGATTTCCCTTTTAACTACTTTTTTTATCTATTCACCACATGTTCACATTCTGAGCTCTGTGTGTGTGTATATATATATATATATAGAGAGAGAGAGAGAGGCTTCTAGAACATTCCATTCGGTCTAAAGGCCTTCTTCCTACCAAATACCAGGATGTGGATTTTTCACAGACAGTATGGAGTCACAGTTAAATTTCAAAGCATGTAAACGGATACAAGTGAGTCCAAGTGTCAAGGAATCCTGATATAGTGCGCCGTGTGAGAAGAAACCCGTGTGTGTAATAAACGCAGCCTCACTGCATATAAATCACAGGATGTTGGAAATATGCATGGATGGAACACTTTCCTCTGGGAATTTTCAACATTTTCCAGCCATTTATTTTCTGTGAGTTTCACACTTTACTTCACAACACGTCGTAATGTTTTTCCCCCGGTCTTTTCCTGCGATATCGTCCGTCCGTGGCACCTCTCCATACCGACCTTTCAACAATAGCTAATAATAAAGTGTAAAAGACAAGAATGGCTACATTTTACTGCTCAATGTCAGGTCAGCGGTTTGTTTGAAGGGAAGTTACTTTTGTGTGGCGTGATTTCGTGGAACTAGACTTCCTCTCCACATATTTTCCTATTTTTCTTATGGCATTTCCTTCTGCATAAATCTGGTATCTTATTAGACTTCATTTCCATTTTTTCTTGGTAAAAAAAAGTGAAGCAAGACTTTGTTGTACCGCTACGGTAATTATGAAAACTCATTAGTCGCTCATCTGTGCCAAAAACCTGCTGAAGATCCACTGTTGTCAGTTTCCGTCTCATTAGCATCTTAAAAACTGTCACAAGTCAGTAACTCAATCTGTCAGAGGAGGGGAAAAGGAAAAATGCAAAAACATTTTTTTTTTATGTACAGACATCATTTCCATTAAAATTGAAATCTGCAGTTTGGTATTTCACGTGAACTTTTATGAAATAGTTAAAAGGACAAATAAAAGATTTTCTAAATGTTACTCAGTGACGCTTTTTTACAGGGAATCATAAAAACGAACAATATTCATGGAGAATGTATTGCTTTTTACACATTGGGAAGACAAAACAGCCTGTGCAACTGCCACCTACTGGCCGTTGCCATCATTGTTACCACAAGGAGGATTGTTTTAGAGACATTATTTCATCAAAATGGAAAAAAACTTTATGGACATTTTCAGTCCAGTGTCAGGCTTTAATCTACACAAACCATGAGTCTCTTCCCCTGATGTCAGAAGACATGGAATTTAACACAGTAGGAATCGCTAACAATTTTAAAATACCCCACAGATAAAAAACAAAACATTTTCCAATTGAATACATATTTGAAAAAAAAAATATTAAAAACACTTATGGTTAATTCTTTGTCCTTAAGTTTTAAATGACAGGAAATCCGTCCAATACAGCTGTACATGATCTTAGTAGGTAAGGTTGGTACATTTTAATTATGTTTAGAGTAATATTAACATTTTTACATTGCATAGTTACTTCCACACACACACACACCTATGATTTGCTGGAGCCGATCCCAGCTGTCATGAGGCCAAGGCTGTTGGCCACCTGGACAGGTCGACTGTCAACTCTGAGGCCAGAAATGGTTTTGTGTTTTTGGCAATGACTAACACACACGGGTGCAAAAAAAAAAAAAAAAAACAAAATTAAAAAAAAATGTTTGTGTGTGTGTTTGTTCGTGTCTGTGTGTGTACTCTGTGATGCTGGTGAAGGAACTGCTTATTGCTGCTCTCCGTGGTGCTGAAAGCTTCATCGCCAGTGGGAACCTGTCACTGCACTTCCCCTCACATCAGAGGGAGGGGAGCGGGTGGATTAAACAGCCTGTTTAATAAATAAACAGCTTAGCGCCTCCTATTACGGCATCTCCACAGAACAATACAGCTGATTAGGACTGAAGATCGTCACTCAGCTGAGGGGCCTGTAGAGCAGGGACCGCGGAGGGAGCTACAGTAAAGTACACTTCTGTTATTATTTTCCACAACTCCTTCTGGTGTCCCCCGTGTGCAGCAGTGTTTTAAAAGGGGCCTTACTTTCTTGTCAGGTGTTTTGACATTTTCTGCACATTTAAGATAACCTTAAAGGTCAACATCCATCTCACGATGTAAACAAACGCTATTAGGAATGGACCTCACGTCTCTCTCCGCTCCTTCTGTCTTTGTCTTCTTCTCTCCCTCTGGTGGATACGCTTCACCACAGTTCCGTGTGAACGTGGTCATGCTCCCATGCTGGTAGACTATCGCTGCGTTTGACCCATTTCTACTGCAGTGGGAAGAGAACTCCACTGCCTCTGACATCATGACAGGGGAGAATGAAGAACAAGTTATCAAAGACCTCTTGTGGGGAGAAAAACAGATTTGTCAGGATGGCTAATGCTAATTGACACACTCTCTTACGCCTCCATTTTCCGTGAGACTCGGTCACCGCTGACAGATGATTGCAGAGCCAGGAGGTTGGGTGTAGCAGTGGTGAGCAGGGGGTACCTTAGACGCTTTGAAAGAAAAATGAGGGCTCAGGCCGCACTGACAGTCCAATTCCTCAGTTCAGCCCATTAGCCACAACAGAATTTCTGCACAAGCGGTGTGTCGGAGGTACCACCCATAAACAAACTAGTGCCCACCGTGGGCCGTGAGGTCACCCAGAATGATAGAGGTTATTAAGTGCCGCCCCTGTTTGTACATCAATCATACGCACACACATCGCGGCTGTAAATGGATTATTCCTTCCCGGAGAGGAGACACCTTTCAGTGTCTCACAAGATCAGTGCCAAGAGTCCAAGTACTTTAACTTAGAGAGAGTTTTTCTTTTATTAATCCTTTGATCTTCACATTCATTCTCATAAATAATTTTCAATGTACTTTTTTAGTCCGGTCAGTGAAAACAGTGTCAGTTTCTTGTCCTGTACATTTAAAGGACAGGAGATTGGGTGACAGAGTTTTATTTATTGTTGACGAATATTATATAAGATGTCGTTAGTGTAGTTCAGAGTAATATTTCTTTTTTTGAGAATTCAAAAGCTGTGACTTCTAAAAGTCATGTGTATTTGATTTTCATAAAAAAGGGGGGGGTATACATTTCTTCTGCCTCCTTCAGGAGGGGGTGGGGGGAGTATACATTTCTTCTGCCTCCTTCAGGATCTTTGACCCATCTATCCAAACACAGATCTTGGAATTGTTGACAGAGTAGTTTTAGCTCTGACTGAGATGTGTGTGTAATCCAGCTGAGCTCTCCTGGTTTATCCACACTGTCATTTCACTGCATTGTCCAGATCAAATGTGTCAAGGAGCTACTGCAGGATTTTATTTTCTTCAGCCAGTATCACACTCTGGCTCTCTTCATCCCTGTCTGGGATTAGGAAGGTTGGAGAAGTTTATGGCGTCTTATCTGCTGACAGCGATGCCTTCCTGCTAACCGGAGATGGCCCAGTAATGTCGCTGGTACTCTTTACACCCAGGTTTTACTGCAAGAAGCTTAGCCCAGCTTGGGAATTTTGAGTTACATGGAAGCAACATACAGTTGCAACACATCAGTGGGATGGAGGTTGGACGCTCGGAGGCAAACCGAGCTTCATTTAGCAAAGTCACAGTTTTTTGTATTTTACTCAACACAATCTGTGTTTTAATAAGTAAAAATATTCCCCCCCACAGGACTATAGATTTGAGGGCCTTAAACTTTTGTATATCATACACTTGAAATGTTTAAAAAGTTAAATGTCAGATGTTAATTTTAGCATGTAGGACAAAGCCTAGCGTCACCTATATGGAATGTTTCCAAGGAAGGTCATCATCTGTTGTGCCACAGAGGCTGCTCTCTCTCTCTCTCTCCCTCTCTCTCTCTCCCCCTCTCCCCCTTTCTCCCTCTGCTCCCCTCTCTCTCTCTTCCTCTTCACACCTCTTGTTCTGCTTGTCTTCCTCGCACCGTATCCTCTCATCCCTCTTTGTCTCTGTCTCCTTCTGTGGGCTGCAAAGTCGGTCATGGTCACACCCTGCCACGTCCCAGTGTTAGTGCAGGAGGCGCTCCAGGCAATTTGACACTAACACTTTGGCATCCACAGTCCTGGGGCAGTACGCTGTCCTCCACCCAGGGTCACCTCACCTCTCCTCTGGGCCTTAATGGGGTGACAACCCCCTCCCCCTCACACTGCAGAGGAACACAAAGCACTGCTGGCCTCTACCAGAGCGTGTTCAGTTTGTGGTAGGCTAATGGTCAGATTCAGTCCGCGGGCCACAGTTTGA